TTTATTATATATATATATATATATATATATATATATATATATATATATATATATATATATATATATATATATATATATATATATGTATATGTTATTGATCGGATGATGATAAAATACTGGACTGATCTTATCTTGAATTATTCTAATATAAATAATATGATATGTGTTATGTTCATTGATTTATCTATTGGTCAAAGGATGATCTAATTGTTTATTTTATTCGTATTAATGAAATTCGGAACTCTAATTAAATTCAGTAAATTAGAAACCCAAATTAGATTTAATGAATTAAAACTGATTTCATTCATCTTCTCTTGTTAAATTAACTATCATTTAATCTTAAAGTACAAGCGAAGTAAATCAAGAGGAAATGATCTATTTGCATATAGAAAGGAAAAAATGTTAGATTTGTTTTGACCTTCAAAAAAAAAAAGATTTAATTTCTGGAGAGAAATTGAACATGACATAATATTAGACAGTAGAAATAATTGAATATATATATATATATATATATGTATATATATATATATGTAAATAGAATGAGATAAAAATTAAAAAATGAGAATGGATTAGTTATTTATGCTTCATGTTAATTAATCCATGTTCTTGACAGCCAATTTTTTTTCCTGATTAATTGAAATGACTTAGTAAAATAATTTGCTCACTGTGCTATACATATAAATTTCATTCAAAAAAAAAGAACCGAAAAGATTTCGATATAAATCATTTTATTATAACTAACATAGCTATAAATTAAATAAATACTAATAAAATTATTCAAGCGAATTTCAACAGAATGTTTTGATATATATTAACATTTTGCTTATAATAAATTATTTTTTTTTCATCGAAATCTTCATAAAAAATTTCCATCGTTTTTCTATTTTTTAGTTTATTTTAAAAGATCAAAAATCAAATACTAATATATCTTTGCTGCAAATTATTCATTATAGCTAATCATTTTTAATGATCAAAATCTTTGGTCATTTACATATTTCCCTCTGTTTTAATCTAAAATTGTAGGAGAAAAAAAAAAATGTATGAATGAATGCCAATGTCACCGCGGCTAATTATGTAAAAAATCATTTCGATTATGCATGAAAGAAAACGGAAAAAAAAAGTATACATGTTGAGGTCGTCTTCGGTTTGTCAAAGAGAAAGTCTCCTGCTGCTTTTGCCCCCCATTACTATTTGTACCCATTAATTCTACTTCATATCAAATATACCTTAGATATAAATTACCGATTTGCTCAAAAATCAAAAATCATACATGCTGCTGTCATCTTAGCAATTGTTATTGTTAAAAAGAGATAAAGAAAGTGATAAGATTTCGTCTTGATTTCCAACAATTCTAATCACCAGCAATCATTTATTCAATTGAACCACTCGAATTTACTTATAATTTATTAACAATTACTTATGGTAAATAGTATGAATTTTACTTTTTAAAAAAATTAAAACCCTTTTCTTTGAAAGAATTTCTCACAATTTGCAAACTGATATTTTCAAAATGCAAAAATTTTAAATAAAAAAAAATTGGTTATTAAATATTTTCCCTAATAAAAATGATGAAAGCTAATTTCTCATATTTTAAAAGAAGGATATGCACATATATTAAATTGCCAGAATTATTTTAGTTTTTTGAAAGCATCAATTAGTGGGATATTAATGAGTGTATAATTTAAAAGGATGTAATATATATATATATATATATACATAATTGCTGAGAAAAGTTCCGAAAATTGGCACCTTATGAAGGATGGCAGTAAATCACCATTATATACATGCACAAAATGGTTAATTTTAATTATTTTTAAACTTCATGAGCAAAGATTCCCTTTTTCTCTCTTTCTCTTTTTTTTTATCCTCAAAATATATTATTTGCTCACTTGTTAATAGTATTTCAATAGAAATATATTTTCAAATAAATGGATAAGTTAAACGAAATTACAGTAATGATATAAGAAATCTCATATCGGAAAAAGGAAAACAGCATAAGTAGAATTTTGCAATTTAGAATATAATGTTTTTCTTTTAAATTTAATTTAAATGAAAATCTCATCCAGTTTTTACAGCTTTATTTTTCAACAAATGAAGATGATTTCTTAATGGAATATTTCTTAAATGGCTTTCTTTTTTTTTCTCTCATCCATTTAAAGCTAAAAATGTAATATTGAATTTAGAACGAAAAATTAGGCCAACCAATAATCATATATCAAATTATAATTTATTGAATTTTTAAAACAGGTTGACTTAATGCATATGCCTTTTCATATCACAACTGAAAGAGTAAAACCCATCAAGCAATATTTCTTGTGTACAATTTATTGCACCCATAAGTTATCATTTCATCTGATGGTAAGCTTATTAGTGATAAATATAATCTTTTTGTAATAAGCTCGTTTTCCTTTTATTTTTTCTTTAATTTCCTTAAATGTTTTTTTTTTTTTTTTTTGACACTCTCTCAAATCGTCATTACTGAATTTGTAAATTAATCAATCAGTCGGTATTATCTGTAATTAAGAATATAAGTCGATGAGAAAATTAAACGAATATGAATGATTCTCGCGCACTCTGCCCACTATTTTCTTCATCCATTTCTTCTCTTCCTTCATTATTTAAAAAAAAAAAATTCCGCTATTTATTATCAAAACATTTTCTTCCCACAAGATGTCGAAGAGGAAGAAAGTAACGAGAGATTAGTGTGCGGAGTGAAGAAGAAAGAGGATGAGATTACAAGTACGTGATGTCACGCATGTCATAGCGTCAACATCACGCACGCCATGGTGTCAACATCACGCACCCCATGGTGTTAACGTCACTCACGCCATGGTGCCAACGTCACGCATGCCATAGTGTCAACATCACGCAACATTACGTCATTGCTATCTTCTCACTTATCTATCCTCAAATTTTACATCCATCCATATAATTTCGTAAGCTATCAATGTGTAGCTAATTGCTTCAAATGTAGAAATTAAGAAAAGAAAAAGGAAAAGAAGGAAACAATCTATCAAAGAATTGTATTGGGTTAGACTAACAGATTTCATCTAAACAGAGGGAAAATATCACATTCATATAAAGGAAGAGGAAGAAAAAGAAGGAATTACTGAGAAAAGAGGGAGGTGAAAAGAATAGAGACAAACACACATACATACATACATGCACGCATCAGCATTTCATCAAAGTTTCCAAGCGTACTGTATTTTCAATTAGCAAACTTCATTCTGTAATTCTTTCCCTTGTGAAAATTTAGATGGAAAAAAGAGAGGCGCACTTGAACAATTATTGAATTAATAAGTTTATAAGAGATGCAAAATTTTGTTTAAATCAATTAAATTAAAAAGAATTGCACTTGGATAACCATTGAATTAATAAGAAGGAAATGAAAGTTGTGTCGGTACATCAAAAGGTAAAAGTAAGTTATTAATGAGAAGGTAAGTAATCATCAGGAATATTTACATTTAACACACCACCCTTTTTTTTCATACATTTTGTATGAATTTCTCATTTTATAAATAAGTTTAAATTTTTTTTAAAAAAAGAACCCAGTACTAAGGAATTGCATGAAATTTTAAAACTTGTCACTTTTACCTGTCGTTACTAAGATGATAAATAAGAAGGGGATGAAGCACACGTGAATGTTAAGTAAACTACAAATTGTTCCTTGTCAACTTCCAGCATAAAAATTCAACAAATTTTTTTGATAGAAATAATTTGCTTTGGTATTTCGATCAAAGCATATTGAAAGTTCTCGAACTTCAACAAATTCGATTTTTTTGAAGGAACCTTACTTATCGTCTCTTTTTTTGGAATGTATTTGGATGCTTGTATGTTAAACCAATGGAGTAGTTTAAAATTGAATTTTTTGTTAAAATTTGGTTTTTAAACTGGTCAAGATTAAATCCTTTCGACCTACAACTAAATTAAATTAAATTGCCACCAAGGCACTGTAACTACTTTTAATTATCACATACATATGAATTTAGCGCCAAAGATTATTTGTGTCGTTTTTGTATTTGGAATACATTTCACAATTCTTTTTCCATTCTATTCTATTTATTTGGGAAATTATTCAATTTCAAAAACAGGTTTAACGAATGAATTTCCATAATTAACGAGCATATCACCAAATTATAAGGAGGAGGGAAATTCGAAACGCATTTATTTTAGAAAATGAATTTTTAGGGATGCTTATCCATCTTTTCATCGAAACTACAAACATATGAATAGATCAAATTAACATATTCATAATTTGATATATATATATATATATATATATATATGTATCTCATTCGTCGTCTTAGTCATCCAGTTAGAAACATCTGCTGTCACCTCCTTTCAACAATTCTTTACATCAGTTGATCCTCTATCATATTTCGTCTCCTTTTCTTATCTTTCATGAATTAAATTGAAATTTCTGGGTGTTCAAAAAGAAACTTCCTCTTAAATATTTAAATTTGCAGTTGCTTGAAATTTCAACGAAAAATGAGAAATCATTGGTTGTTGGATTTGTTGAACAATATCAAACTTTTGAAGAGTTTAATTTATAGCAGTCTCAAATCAATAAGTTCTCCAAGTTGCTAGGATGTGAACTCGAAACAAAAGTTACGGTAGGACTTCGGAGACAAAAAAAATTCATTCAAAAAAAACTTTTCGTTTTTAGAAAAAAGCTAAGATATATGAAAGTCTGCGAAAATCTATAGAAAAGGACTAAGAATGGAATTTTGTTAAAGGTTTGTTGAAAATGCGCAAAAAATTCTAATGAAAATGATAAACATACCAGTATCAGATGGTGTTACCATAATATGCAAGGGATGATGATGCGGTATCACTGGTGTCCCTGAAGCAGCAGCTGTCATCGATGTACCAAGAATGTATGATAGATAAGCGTTCTAAAATTAGTGCAACTCAATTTTATTAAATTTGAGTTCATTGAATGAAATATCTGAGAGAATGAAACGAAAAATGGAGGATGAATCCCGTCATAAATTGTCAAATTAATAATTTTAAAAGTTTAATTATTACCATATAACAAACTATCGCTTGCAATGAGGCATAGCACTGAGGCTTTTAAATCATATATCGCTTCTTTTTTTCAATCACAGATCAAAGTGTTATTTATATTTTGCTAACAAAGAATGTTGTTATTATTAACCTGAATATGTTGGACCTGAGATAAATCTTGTCCATCAGCGGTAACAGCAGCAGCAGCAATAGCATTAGCAAATGAATTTGGATCCATTAATGAATTAGGAGCATGAGGGATTGTAAAAGCTGATGGTCCAGCTGTGAAAAAATGTGGCCAAGTAACAGCACGTCCATATTCTGCCAAATCGGTACACCTAAATTAGGCCAGTAATGACTATAAAAGAGAAAATAAAACTATAAAGGAAGAAATGTTTCTTTAGATTTCTTCTGAACAATATTACTCTAACTTTTACTTAGTATAAGGTTCAAAGTATATTTTGCAATGGTTTAATTAGGTTCACAAACCGACTGCCATCATCATCTGTTGAATGACATCGACCAGTTCCACCATTATCATCATCACTTGCTGATGAGCTGCTGCAAATGAAATTGACTTAATGAGTTATTTGTCATTTGAATTTTTAAATTTTTCAAAAAAAAATGTCATCCCCAAAATAAACTGTCAACATCTGTTATCAAAAATAGCAAAATGTTAGTAACAATAATAAAAATATATTCAATTTAAATTATCAAAATAATTTCAAACCTGGCTCGACTGCTACTGGATTCTTTCTTTTCCAATAATTTAGTTATACTGTAGGCATTATTTTTCCCTTTGTTTTTGGTACTTGTTGTACCGATATTAATTTTATCCTGATTATTAGTATTGCGGAACCGTTTCGTTCCACAGCGTTCTTCCGATTGTTTATTTTCCGGACTGGACCGTGATGTTGACTTACGTTGATGATTATGCATTGCTGCTAATACTGATGATGATGATGATGATGATGATGATGATGATGATGATAATGATGATGATGATGATAATGATGATGAACCCTGAAAATGTGAAACAAATTATGAATAATTTCAACTTTAGACTTTTGATAAAGTATAATTTTAATAAAAAGTGTTTGTCGCAGATAAATTACAAGAATAGCGATGATGACAAAATGTTTAAATTAATTACCATTGTGTTGGTTGCAACAACCGAACTACTTGTAACATCCGGGAAAAATGAATTCATTGAATGATATTTAACGAAATATCCTGAAGAAAAAAAACAAACGATTACGGTAAAAAAAATTTGAAATTATAATATTGGCATTAGTTAAAGTAAAAACTATTGAAGATGCATATCAATATTACAAATCTCCAAATAACCGGAAAAAAAAGTCAAATAATCAAATCGGTTATGTTGAATTCTGTCAAATTCTTATTTGAGAAATTCTTAAACATAAAAAAAAAATGAAGAAAACTGGAATTTCAGATACAAAATGAGGAATTAATGTTTAATAATCAAAAACAAGCAACTTTGATGAAGCTACACATATGTACTAATGATTTTAGACAAATAAGTTTTTCGAATCCTTAAAACGATTTTCGGTTTATTTCAATCGAAAATTCCAAACGAGTGATTAAAATTTTAAAATCATTAAAAAAAACACCAAAAATAACTTTTTGCATACATCTTAAAAAGCATGTATAATAATAAACAGAAAGAAAAGATTGTCAACTAATGCGAAATGAAACGATTCCCTTTCAATTTCACAATTTCCAACTTTCCTTTTTAGCTTGAATTTGTATAAAATTGCTACCATTCGTATGAAAGTTAAGGGATAATTGATAAATTCAATACACTTCACTAAGAACTTACAACTCACAATTCACAAATGTAATTCATTTTCAATTTTTCACCTAAATTATAAATTTCATCAAATTGCTTTTTTCCTGAGAATTTACATGAATGAATGATGAAATACCTTTCCTGATCCTATTTTTCTGATCGATACGCTTTTTTTTCTCCAATTCGTTACCAAAATTTTGCAAGAGATTTCTATGGAATGGTTGAATTAATTAAAAGAGGTAATAATGTTTCGTAAAGGATGACTATTGGTGAGAAAATCATTCAACAATTTTTATAACAAAAAGAAAAAAGAAAGAAAGAAAGAAAGACATGAAAAGTTTGTTAGATCTTTAATCATTGACAAAAATTTATTTTACTTTCGTTATGAATTTCACATGAAATATTATTAATAATGATAAATAAGAAAGAGAAATGAATAATGAGCAGAAATAGGGAGAAAAAAAAGGAATTGAGAAGTGAGAATTTGGGTTTTAAATAAAAAAAAAGGAAATCTTATCCAAACCTTATCATTCTGGCTAATTGATATTAAAACGATTACGTTGAATGAATTTTTGGAATATTTTAAATAAGCAAAAAAAAAATAAAAGTTTGTTATTCATATCAACGATCGGATAGCCTAAAGTAAGCTACTAATGAATGGAAGTATAATGGTTGAGATGAAATGAGAAGAGCGATTTGTTTTATCCAAAGGTAAGATAGCAATTATTTGATCATTTATGGATAACAGAATCAAGCTTAGTATTTTAAGAGTGCATTATGTTACTGAAATGCTAAGAAGGCATATTAAAATAAAACTATTCTGGAAATTTATACTATGAGACTTTTATTTTTCAACACTTACAATTGGTATAACTATCCAATCATTCTTTAAATAATTAAAAGGTGAAGTATCTACTTGTAAGGCATATAATAAACGATATTACTAATATCAGATGAGAAAATCTCTGATATTACTAATATATCATTTCTACATCTGTTTGCATTAAAATCATTGATAACATTTGAAAGCAATAAGGATTGAGTATAATTTGAATTCAAAATCCATTCCTTTCTTACTTTCTAATTTCTTTCATTTTAACATTTCCAAAAAAAAATTGTTTCTGTCAGCAAATATGTTCCAATGAATCGCATTCTCGACGGAATGGGGCGGTATTGTTCAATGAAGTGCCAGTAAAAAGGAAAAAAAAGCAGGGTATATGGTAAGTTCCTGTTCATCGGTATGTGTGTATGTGGGTGTATATGTGTTTGTGTGTATGTGTGTGGAATATAAGTTATGGGTATGTGTGATACATTTCCCGAGATGTATCAGTTGTTATCGATCGTATGTCTAAATGAACAAAAAAAAGTTTTTGAAAATTCAAAATAACCAAAAGTAATCTTTCTTGTATGCTTGAATTAAATTTAAAATAATTTAATTCCATAAACGACAAGAAAATTTGAAAAAAAAGAAGAAGGAAAGGTTCAATTTTTTAGTGTCGAAAAAATACGTCCGAAAGAAGAAAAAAAAACATGTAATTTTATAGGTTGGACAAGAGATAAAAATAATAATGATTGGATAGCAACTTGGCTCCACCTTCCTCTTCTTCTTGGAACTAGGCTCTTTTTATCACTTTTGGCTAAATAGAAAAATGGCATAGCCTTTTTGATGGATAAATTATTTCCTCAGTTGCTAGAACGAAAAGATAATCAATTTTATTGGTAAGCTAAACCCTTTTATTTATTTTTTATATTTTTTAATTCTTCCATTATCATTTTTCACCTGCAAAAAGAGTCACAAATAAATGCAATTTTGAATGCTACTTTACCGCTTCAGGTTTATTTATTTTATTAAAGTTTTCATCAAAAAAAAAACGATTAAAATTTGGTAATCAAAAAAAAGAATAAAAGAGGAAAGGAAATGATGGCAGAAGGTACTTCTGGAAGGTACTCCAAAATAAGCTTAATTTTTAGAATAACTGCTTAATGGATTCAAATTGACTATACGGTATTATAAATGAGATACGGGAAGGTACGAGATGCGAGGCGATTTACGGGAGAAAAGAGAAAGAGGAATGAAGAGAAGGATGATGACAAGTGCAAGTATAAAAAAAAAATGAATAGATGAAATCTGATAGATTTTGATTTTTATTTGACAACAAAGATGGAGGAAACAAAGATGGAAACAAAATGCTTTGTTGAAAATAGTGAATGAAAAGCTTTTATTATGGTGAGTTATTGCTTCATATCAGATGAAAAGGAGGAGGAGAAAGAATGAGGAGGAAGAGGAAGAGGAGGAGGAGGGGGAGGAGAAGGAGGAGGAGGAGGAGGAGAGAGGAGGAGGAAGAAGAGGAGGAGGAGAAGAAATGAGACAGGAAATGCATATTTTTCAAAAAACATTCCTGTGAATTAATTATTTTGTAAGTGATTTTTTTTTTGTTTTCAGAATTTGTTTTCTTCTTTCTAAGCTAATCGTTGAATTATTTTCCTATTAACTTTGGAACAGGAAAATGTTGTGCATTTTAATCCCTTCCATTCCTCAATTATTCATCCTTTCCTTCCGGATTCCGAAATGTTTCTTCCGTAAAACATGATATTCTTATATCTAATATATTATAGTCTCAATCTAATGCTATACTTCCCCAATTACAATATGAGCATAACGATGAGTATGAACAAAATTTAAAAAACGAAAACAAGATTTATTAAAGATTATTTTACAATAAAATAAAAATAGCACTTAATTGGTGGCATATGAATTAGACGAAATAATTGTACGATGAAATTGCTAAGTAAATTTTGCATATTGTCAATTATTTATACAATATATGTCTACTTTTTTTGATCAATACTACTACTGATAAGTTTATAATAGTAAACAAATATTCTACAATAAACAAAAATTAGTTGGATTCGGATCGATTAGTGATGATAATCCGAATTCCGTTCCGGAGAAAATAATTTAAAAAGATAGCATTATCTCATATATATTTCTAAATATTTAGATCATACATTTTTTTTAAAATCATATACTAGCTCCTATCCTTATCGTTCTATTGACATACCGGATTATAATTAACAAAATCCTGATACTTTTTTTTAGGGAAAAAAAGGAAGTACATAAAATATTTCTATAAAGGATAATTACATGCATATTACAGAGACAAATGCGCTCACTAAATACTTCATCTCTAATTAGTAAATTCATTACGTTAAACAATATAATGATTGGAGTAGACGTTCGATAACTTCTTTGGTTAGCTTTATATAATTAGACTGGAAAATGATTGAAACATGAAATGCTTTGCTCTTGTTAAAAAAAAGTGACGACAAAATTTCGCGTCAAAGTTATTCTTTACCGGAAAAAGAAAGAAAAAAACCGGATAGATTAAAGTGACAGCAGAAAATATTATCGAATAAGCAGCTTAGTGAAACTTTCCGATTAATTTTTGACCAATAAAAGGAATTTTAGAAACGGAAACGGAAAATCCTATTTCGTGCATACTGAATTGGTTATTTATCTCTATGTGTGTGTGTCCGTCTGTCTGTGTGTCTGTCCGTCTATCTATCTATCCATCTATCTTTATATGTAACACAACATTAGATGAAATGATGGGATAAAATAAACTGTGAACAAATCAACTGGACGATAAATATAATCGGTATTGACAGTATGAACGGTGGTAAATGATTATATTGGGAAATTTTCATTTATTGTTAAAAAATTTTTATGATTGGAAAAATTTTGATTGCCTTTTTCCATCAATCTCTTCTTTCTTCTCATTTATTTCATAAAACTGGCCAAAATTGCTGCATGCGTGCAATAAAATGCAAGTAGCAATTTGAAAAAAAAATACTAGTAAAAATTCTGTTATCCTAAAATCAATTTATTTTTACCAATGATTTTTTTTTGATTTTGTTTATTACGATTACTTTTAATTATCATTTATTGCTATTGCTATTATTATTGTTTTATTATTATTATTATTTTATTGTTATTATTATTATTATTATTATTATTATTATTATTATTATTATTATTATTATTATTATTATTGTTATTATTATTATTATTGTTGTTATCATTATTATTATTATTATTATTATTATTATTATTATTATTATTATTATTATT